AGGCCCCTCGCCAAACCCCGCCCTCTGCCGGCCCCACCCCCAAACTCTCAAGGTATTTTCCAACCCAGACCTGGCAACCCTAGGGGAGGGCTCTGCCCCCTGCCCCAAGCTTAGCAGGCCCACTGCTGCGTTAGAAGGGGGAATCAGGATGGGGTTTTTTCCCAATTAATAAAACTTTCGAGGAACACCTTTTGGGGCCAGAATTGCCAAACAAAACAAAGAATAAGAAATGGGGGTCAGCCTGATCCACAAGTAGGTGACAAAAAAACCCACATCGTTGTGCCCTGGCATTCCCCTCCTCCCCAGTGAGATGGACAGAGATCTCAGCCCCTGGCTCCACCCCAGGCCCTCCTGCCTTCAGAGCCCACAGAACAGAAGGGCCTCACCTGCCTCTCTGCCTTAAGAGGAACTCTTCAGCCAGGTCCACCACCTGGGAGCAGCTATCAGGGCTGCTCTCCCTTACCCAACTTTGGATCTCTGGGGGCAGGACGCTCAGCAGCTGCTCCAGGACCAAGAGCTCCAGGATCTCCTCCTTGCTGTGATTCTCCACCCTCAGCCACCCACGGCACATTTCCCGCAGTCGGCTGTATGTTCCTCTTGGCCCATCTGACTCCTGGTAGCAGAAATGCCGGAACTCTTCACGCTGCTTCTCCCGGCTCAGGGCATCTCCTCGCAAGATGGCTGCCTTCACTTTCCCATAATCCTCTCTGTCTTTGGCATCCATTCTGCGATAGGTCTCCTCAGCATCGCCGCTGAGGGCCGGCAGGAGTCGGCTCACCCACTCTTCCTTTGGCCACTGACAGGCTTCGGCCACTTGTTCAAAGGAGGCCAGAAAGGCCTTGGCATCCTCCCAGGGGGAAGGTTTAGCTGGCAAGGGGGGGACTCCCCATCCAGAGTGAGGGTTTTCCACCCTCTTGAGGAACTCCTGCCACTGGGCTTCCCAGAGCGAGGAAAAGAGAAACCCCTGCCGATTGCTGATGCACGGGATCTCTTGGCCTCCTTCGAAGGAATTCCCCGATACTCCCAGTCTGGAGAACGTGTGGGGCATTTGGTATCCCCTTCGCTGCTTCCCCTATCGTTGTGCTTTGCCACTGCATTTTCATACTAGATGTGCTCCCAGTGACGTTTTTTCCTGTGGAAAACTGTGGCAACGGATTACAACGTTCCAGATTTGGCTTCTCCCTGTAAAAAACAGACAGAAAAAGAATGTCAGAAGAGCTGCACTGGAGCAGACCAAAGGCCCATCGAGTCCAGCATTTTGTTCCCACAATGGCTCTCCAGCTGTCTCTAGGAAGAAGAAGAAGAAGAGACTGGATTTATACCCCGCCCTTCACTACCCAAAGGTGTCTCAGAGCGGCTTACAAACTCCTTTCCCTTCCCCTCCCCACAACAGACACCCTGTGAGGTAGGTGGGGCTGAGAGAGCTCTTGACAGAAACTGCTCTTTTCCAAGAACAGGGTTTTTTTTCTTCAACATTTTTATTGAAGTTTTAATATTTTCATACAACTGTTAAGGTAAGTTAAAACCACTTCAATTTTTACAGAAATTATTAAGTATGATTAACATCATAGATTATACATCGAGCACTTAGAACAAATTAAACAGTCAACATTTATCTAAGAAAGTATGTTGAAACGTCATTTTGTTTCAGAAGATAAGAGCTAAATTTTCCAAGAACAGTTGTGCCAGACCTACGGCTTGCCCAAGGTCATCCAGCCAGGTGCAAGTGGAGGAGTGGGGAATCAAACCTGGCTCTCCCAGATTAGAGTCCGCACACTTAACCACTACACCAAACTGGCTCTCAAAAGCCCATGACACCCCCAAAGAGACTGTAACAGCATCACATGAAGCTGCCATATACTGAATCAGACCCGTGGCCCATTATCCCAATCCAAGCATCACCTACAGAGAAGCGCACTGAAGAAGGTGCCATGTGGAGTTCCAGCATCATTCAAGACAGTGTATCTCTACCTACCACCCTACACACAAAGCAGGCGACTGTGCCTCAGCGTGCTGGCCCCAATTCTTGTCATCGGCGGCTGGTGAGCGCCATGTCTATCGAGAAGAGGAAGAAGAGATTGGATGTATACCCTCTGCCCTTCACTACCTGAAGGAGTCTTAGAACGGCTTACAATCTCCTTTCCCTTCGCCTCCCCACAACAGACACCCTGTGAGGTAGGTGGGGCTGAGAGAGCTCTTCTGAGAACTGCTCATGAGAGAACAGCTCTGAGAGAACTTGTGACTGACCCAAGGTCACACCAGCAGCTGCATGTGGAGGAGTGGGGAATCAAACCCGGTTCTCCCAGATTAGAGACTGCTTCTCCAAACCACTATACCAGACTGGCTCTCAAGTGTACACAGGTAGACGCTGTCCCTGCAATTGGAAACGCTGCTTTTTTTAACGTACAGAGAGGGATCGTGTACACGGGACACAGTTGATTTCGCAGAGGTGAGGGAGGAGGCAGTGCACGCACACCCAGTCTCCCTTAATGCATGTTGATGTGCTGTGCCGTGCACAGGGTCATGTATAGAAGCCTAAGAATTGCTCAGATCAGTGAGTCCATCCATAGGGGTCAAAGGCAAGAGATGAGCAAGGCCCAGCTGGCCTGATCCGACATGGACCCCAAGAGGGGGAGAAGACGGCAAAGACGTGCTGGGAAAATGGTGCTTCCTATACGCATCCTCTGGATATCCTCTATATCAGTGGTGGCGAACCTATGGCACGGGTGCCAGAGGTGGCACTCAGAGCCCTCTCTGTGGGCACGCGTGCCATCGCCCCAGCCAGGCCCAGACCATCATTAAAGTGACAGATTCTCTGCCAAATAATTTTAAGTAAATGAAAGCATTTGGGATTGCTTTCCTTCCTTTGTTTGGATCATCTTAAGTTAATGTATGAGTTGTTTTTTCTAAAGTAAAACCTCAGTATTCAGGTTGAATTGCCGTGTTGGCACTTTGCGATAAATAAGTGGGTTTTGGGTCGCAGTTTGGGCACCCGGTCTCTAAAAAGTTCGCCATCACTGCTCTATATGGACAGATGTATCCACTGGATACACAAGCAGTTCTGAAGATTTATGCCAACCTTTCTCCCAACAATAAAAACAAGCAAACCCCCCCCCAATCCTAAAAACAGCAGAACTAATTGAACGAACACAAGAAGATCTTCAACAGAGCTTGCTGTCTCACGCAGGAAGCTGCCTTACACTGAGTCAGACCCTCGTTCCATCAAAGTCAGTGTTGTCTACTCAGACTGGCAGCTGCTCTCCAGGGGCCCAGGCAGACAGCAGTCTTTTCACATCACTTGGTACAGGGGTGGCCAAACTGCAGCTCGGGAGCCACATGTGGCTCTTTCACACAGTCTAATTCAATGTTAATAAAAAGCACATTTGCATATTTTCCAATAAAAACCTGTGTGTAATATTTGTTCATGTCTCAGACAGGGGTCATTTCCTGCAGGAGCGCACAGGAGCGGAGCTCCGGCAGTAAGGAGCCCAGGGGGTGGGAACATGCAACAAGCCTCACCCCCTGCTCCCAGCAGCCCTCAGTCAGGCCATGAAGACCAAGAAGCAGCCAGGTAAGTTACAGAGCCACCCACCCCCCGCCTGCCTTCAGATACAAGCTCTCCCTCCTCTGCAAGGGCAGATCTGTGCATTCCCCCCCCCCAGTAGCTAGCAATCCAAAACAGTCCAGTGGAGCCTGAGCGGTGGGTGTTGCCTTCTGACACACTTCCAGTCAGGGGGTGTGGCATATGCAAATAAGTTATGCTAATGAGTTATTCCAGTGAGCCCCTGCACCTCTTTTTCTACGAAATGGCCCCTGGTCTCAGACATCTGACGTTTATTCTGTGTGGCTGTTACGTTAAACAAGTTTGGCCACCCCTGACCTAGTATCTGGTCCTTTTTGAACTGGAGATGCCAGGGATTGAACCTGGGACCTTCTGCAAGCCAAGCAGATGCTCTACCACTGAGCCATGGACAGTCCCCCAAGGGAATGAGAAAGCTGTCATCCCGAGGCGCCCAAGGCTCTTACGAAAAGTCCTGTCTTAGAAGCCCTCCAAAGCGGCCCAGAGAGATTCCTCCCTCAGAAGGCTTTGCTGTCTCTGGATCGGGCCCCAGAGAAAGCCAATGAACCGCAATAGCGGAGAGAACCCAAATCTTGTGAGGAAAAGACACCAACGCACTGCATGCTGCTCCCAAGTGGGCTCAATAGGAGAGGCCTGTGGGCTTGAAAGGGAAGGGCCAGGGCCCTGCAGGTGAGGGAATGAGCCTGGGGAAACGCGTCGCTTGCTTCAGCCTTCCTGAATGTGTGTCTGGGACGAAACTGCAGGGAGTGAAAAAGAGCGAGGCCATCCCGGCTCACACAATTAACGACACCGATGCTGGGAAAGAATGTCGCCTACCCAAGAAGAGCTGGACGAGAGAAGAACCTGAATGGGAAATCTTTGGGAGGGAGGGAGGGAAGTCAGGATGGCCCCACACTAAATCCCAGACTGTAACAGCCACACCCACCCACCCACACCCACACACACACCCCGGCCAAAGCAGGGCCTGCACATCTGGGCTGCATCTCACACCGCCCCCTGCTCCAAAGGAACCCCATTTATCACAACAAGGAAGAAATAAATGGGGAAAAAAACAGGGGAAAGATTATTTTGAGGGAAACAAGACAATGAAACCCACGAGTATTATTCCCTCCCCTCTCCCGCCCCCGTCGCCCCAACTCCCGGGGGCACTCACTTTGCTTTCTGACACTTGCTGTAAAATGGGACACACCCCAAAATCACTATGGGGCCATCACAGTGGGGGGGAGAGGCCTGTTCTCGGCGTGGAGAGGGAAACCCAAGAACTCCCCTCCTGCTCCTTGCTTGAGATCCAGCCCCTGGGTCATGGGAGCCACCCTGGCCGCCTCCTTCCCGGCCCTGCTCTGGACTGGGGGGCCCAAAGGGATCCCCTTGCAGGGCCGTCCATCCCGGGGGCGCTTCAATCCCCCCCCCCCCCCCTCAGCTCGTTACCCTTCCAGGAATCCTCCCGGCCGGATCCAGTCTCCGTCCTCCAGCTCTCCCGCAAAGCCAAGCCGGATCCCTCGAGAACGAAGCCGGAGGACCGGAGTGTTTCTCTCCTCCCTACGCCGCCTGCCTAGGAAACGCGGCTCATTCGCTTTAACCCTTTCTAGGCCTTGCGAGGGAAATTTTTAAAAACCTGCTTTGCATTAATGTGGTTTCTGTTCACCGACGATCCACGTCGGTCGCCCAACCGGTCGCTTTCTGACGACGGGTTCAGCCTGCCACACAAGCAGATCTCCGTGTCGCTTCGTCGGCGTACACCAGAGAGATCTAGTTCATTCACCCACTGCTTTCCTCACCAGCGTTCCGTGCGCCTTGGTGTTTAGTCATGCCGGCCACATGACCACGGAAACGTCTTCGGACAGCGCTGGCTCTTCGGCATTGAAACGGAGATGAGCACCGCAACCCTAGAGTCGGATTCGACTGGCTTTCGAGCAAGGGAACCTTTACCGTTACCTTCCTCACAAGTGCTGACACCAAGCAAGCCACGGCATTAATTTCCTCTCTGTCCTATTCTCCACTTTCTCTTCACAGCATCCTTGCGAGGCTGAGAGGGCGTGACTGCCCCAAGGTAACAAAGCAAATTTATTTGGCAGAGTGAGGATTCGAACCTGGGTTTCCCAAACCCTGATCATGAATTCTAACCACTAGGCCACCCTTGCTCTTTTCTACTCTTCTACTCTTAAAAAAGCACCATTTCTTCTTCTGCATTTTTTAACTTTCAGAACTGGACATTAGGAATGGGATACCCACTCCTGCCTGTAATGACCAAGATGTAGAATCTGACAATCCCTTCTTCTCCATGAGAGAGACTGCACTCCAGTTTAAAGGATTACCCTCTCACACTCCTTTTGCATCCTCTCTAGAAAACCCAGCTTTTTCTTTTGCATCCTTTACTAGCCTTTGTTGTTAAAATTCTGGTTTTAACGGTGTTTTGAAAAAGGCAGACATTTAGCGTGTCTTTCTTTTAAGCCTAGGAACGTCCACTGCCTAATTCCAGGAGTGAAAGGTCTGGTTGTGGTTACTCAGCAAGGATGGTGAAGCAGTCTGTTCATGCTCAGAGGCCGGAGCCAAAATAAGATTTCTCTACTTGCAATTTCTTGCTTTCGAACTGCTAGGTTGGCAGGAGCTGGAACTAGAGATGGGAGCTCACTCCATCATGCAGCAACCCAGGTCTCGAACTGCTGAACTACTGACCTTCCACAGCCTGCAGTTCAGCATCTTAACCACTTGAGCCACCGCAGCTCCTTGAAGCATCATTTACAGAATCAATAATGCCTTCTCACACAATCCCCAACGCTATAAAGAGGCAATCATGGCATTTTGATCTGGCTTATCAACTCAAACGATATCTACACAAGTGCAAAATACGAGGGTCAACATAATATTAATGTTATTAATAATTCCTGTAGTTAAGGGTTTGGATGGTTATTCTTGTTATGATGCAATACGTATTCTTAAGTTTATCGTATCTGTTTCACTCATGAAAAGTACATCACTGTTTATATGTTTTAAAGTTAAAAGTTATAAATGTGTGTTTTTTTAAAAAAAGGGTGCTAAGATATGTGTTGATCTCGGAATTCCCTGCAGGAGGCTTTGCCATCGCCAAATGGGGCCACAGAGGAAGCTGGTGAAAGGGCACTGGCAGATCGAACCCAATGGTTGAAGGGATTGAAATAAACAAAAGGAAGTGAGGTGCTGAATGAAGCAGCCCCATGGGCTCATAATGAGAGTCATGTAAGTGCCAGCACCATGAACTAGATTTGGAAACCAACGGCCAACCAATGCAAAGACTACAAGACAGGTCAAGATGGGCAGCTGTGTTAAGTCTGTCTGTAGCAGCAGAAAAGAGCAAAAAGTCCAGTAGCACCTGAAAGACTAACAAAATTTCTGGCAGGGTGTGAGCTTTCGTGAACCACTGCTCACTTCTTCAGATACTGCTATACGAAGGTATCCAAAGAAGTGATCAGTGACTCGTGAAAGTCCATCCCTTGCCACAAATTTTGGGCACACTCACTAAATAATGCACTTTGCAACTGGATATCACCATATGAAACAGCAAAATCCACCTGCAAATAATTGCTGAAGTGCATTGAAAGTGCATTATTTATTCTGTGCAATTTGTTAGTTTTAAAGTGCAAGTAGAATCTTGCTTTCTTCTACTGCAAAATAGGTGTGATATCATCCTTGCAGCCCGTCCACCCGTGAGTGTGTGTATGTAGTTCTGTGGAGGACTCAGACTGCTTCATTTACATTGTCTCACGAAATCCCTACAACTCTCTTGTAGAGTAGGCTACTATTATAATCCCCATCTTGCAGATGAGGCGAGGGCTAGAGACCCTACCAGCTAACACAATTAGCCACCGAACCACACCAATGCCTGGAAAGCTTTCCTTGCTACAGATCCCCCACCCCTCGCTGCAAAATTAAGCCCCGCCACCACCAGAACCCACCTTTCACCCTGTGGCTAACTTGAAACGGACAGGAACCTAGAAGGTTGAGCAGCTAAAACTTAGAACAAAATGCATCTATGTATTGTAAAGTGTACTCTGTGTATTGCTATTGCTATTATTTAGACCACCAAAGGCCCTCAGGCCTTTTTATCTTTTATTTTTATATTTTTATCTTAGCTCAGGAAGGAGGGCTCCAGAGCAAACTAATTTATGCAGTAGACGAATCGCTCGCTCACAACTTTAATGCCAGCAGCTCACAATGTATAATTTTTGCTCACAAGACTCCCCAGCTTAGAGGGAGCATTGTGGCATCCCCCAGCCCAGCTTCTTGAGTCTCTGTCCTCTCCCTTTGTATACTCTCTAGGAACCACATATCTCCCTGCTTCTTTAACCCTTAACAGGCTCTCATGGACGGATTATTTATCGCATGGTAGAGTTACACACAGGAAGCATATAATAATATAAAATATGTAACCAAGTTGATACAGTGGGCATGCCAACTGATTGGGCAATCCCCCTAAAATACTAATATCTAGATTTTCAATACACTCAATTGCAGCTGGGGAGAGTTCAAGGAGCTCCATCACATCTCCCTGGAAAACATGACATACACATTCTTGTGATAGATGTAAAATAATTTGGCGGGCTGCACCAGAATTGCATTCAGGTCCTGGTATTTCGTCCCATTAAAACAACAGCTCTGCACAACTGCCAAAGTCTATTTGTATTCTATTAGCCATCTTCCATAGTTTATGTGGTAAGTCAAATCCTGCGGGCCTCTCATTGGTGTTATCAGGTTATGGATACTGGGTGGAACTGATTGTATCCATGTTCACAACCATTCCTTCCCTAGATCGAAATTTTGTGATTGCAGGATTTGTGCAGATCTTATTGCTGGGTGTCGGGGACTTAGCCTGGTTAGGCTTGCATCAGCCATGTCTTTGTGGATAGGAAACTCTCGGTTTTCAAGTATTTTTCTATATTTACAAAGAAGAGCATCTTGTCTTCAGAGATGCAGGGTAGTGATGTGGCACAGCATGGGTAGTTAATAGGTCGTAGTGGGTTTCATACATCCACTGATGGTTCTCGTTGTATTGAGTTGGACATCAAGTTTGTGGACATGGGGGCTGCTGAGCCACACTGACACATATTCCGCAGTACTATATACCAACCCCAAAGCTGAGCATCTAAGTGTTGTAGCAGACAGCCTGAAAAAGCTCATATTTCAAGAAGGGTTCTGTTTGTTTTCATTCTTCCAAATTAAGGAAAATGTGGAATTCAGTGCCAGAGGAACTGGTTGGCCACTCTGTGAGACAGGATGCTGGACTAGATGGAGTACTGGTCTGATCCAGCAGGGCTCTTATGTTCTTAAATTAATCCTACTGAACAAACTCTTTGGGCTTCAAAGTGGTGGCAGCCCAAAAAGCCTGCAGCAGGCTGAACTGGGTGGGTGGGGGATTACGGTTAGAGGATGCTTCTCCAGAACTACTTGTCAAATAAAACTATTTGTGCACATGCTGTCATGCTAGGCTGTAGGTATCGACCATCCTCATTTTGTGTATCTCTGCACAGGGTTTGGAAAATAGAAATGTTTTTGCCAGCTTTGCAGATGTCAGAAATACCTCACTTGGTAAATATCCTGAAGGAGTGAGCTTCATAGAGGGCAACCACTGAAAAGGCCCTTTTTTGTGTAAATACTTTTTTAGTCCCAAACCCCTGGCTGTGAAGAAGATCCTTATCAGAAACAACTGTAGGAAAGTTTCACCTCTCTGCGAGGAACATGAAGCTCTGGTCTCTGCATCAGAGTGTTGCCACACACAGACAATTTATGAGGGTTTCACCCCTGTGTAGATTCCTCAGTGCTTATGGACAGATGCGCTGATCTTGAGTCTCCTTCCACCGTCAGAGTACATCCTTGTTTTCTTCCCTGTGAGAACTATTTGAGGTGTCAATCATGGCTAGACCTTTCCCCATAATCTGAGCATTTATACAAGTTTTTCTTGGTTTGAATCGGGTGTGGGGGTTCTATATGGTAAGTTTTCTGTGCAGATGCAAGTTCTTTCCAAGAGTTTACATGGTTTAGACCCTTTCTCTCATCTGTGGTTGTCTTTCAGGTGTGAAATAAGAGAAAAGCTCATTTTCACAGGCTAAGCAGTCACATGGTTTCTCCTTGTGTGTGCGTTCGAAAAGTTTCTCACCCGTGCAGGTTCTTCGATGATGTTAAAGATGGCATCTCCTCTGAATATCTTTCCATACTCTTTCCACATTAGAAGCATTCAAAAGGTTTCTAACCTGTGTGAGTTCTTAGATGCCGTTGAAGACTGCGACTTTCACTGAATCTCTTTCCACACTCGGAGCATTCAAAAGGTTTCTCCCCTGTGTGAGTTCTTTGATGCCGTTGAAGACGGCCTCTCCAGCTGAATCTCTTTCCACACTCTGAACATTTAAAAGGTTTCTCCCCTGTGTGGGTTTTTTGATGCCGTTGAAGATCAACACTGCAGTGGAATCTCTTTCCACATTCTGAGCATTCAAAAGGTTTCTCACCTGTGTGGGTTCTTATATGCCTTTGAAGACTGACACTCTGACTGAATCTCTTTCCACACTCTAAGCATTCAAAAGGTTTTTCCCCCGTGTGGGTTCTTAAATGCTGTTGAAGATTGCGATTTTCACTGAATCTCTTTCCACACTCCGAGCACTCAAATGGTTTCTCCCCTGTGTGGGTTCCCAGATGCCGCTGAAGATTGCCACTCCATCTGAATTCCTTTCCACACTCTGAGCACTCAAACGGTTTCTCCCCCGTGTGGATTATTTGATGCCGTTGAAGACTGACACTCTGACTGAATCTCTTTCCACACTCTGAGCATTCAAAGGGTTTCTCCCCTGTGTGGGTTCTTTGGTGCAAAAGGAGATGTGATCTGCAGGTGAAATACTTTCCACACGGAAACCATTCATGTGCCTTCCCATCAGAGAAATTCTTTGCACTCTCTAAGCAGATAAATGTCTCCCCTCCTGAATGGTGGGAAGTCTCTCTCTGGTGTTGAATAAGGTTTGATTTCTCTGAGAATCTTTTGTCGCAGTCTGAGCAGCTGTACAGTTTCTCTCCTATATGGATCCTTTGGTGCCTCATGAGCTCTTCTCCACAAAGGAAGCTCTTTCCACACTGCAAGCAATTATGAAGCTTTCCAGGATGCTTCTGCAAATCAATATATTGAGTTTGATCTGAGAAATTCAATCCCCAGTCCACATATTTGTGTGTTTCCTGTGCTATGTGGATTATTTCATGGAAATCCCCTTCTTGGCAAGGAATGGGTTTTTCCCTCATCTTCTCTCCATGGTTTCCCTCCTGCCTCTCCAGTCTATCTCGATCACTGAAGTTACATTCAGACTCTTGTTCCTTGTCTCCTTCCAATGAGAACCACTCGAATTCCCCAACCATCTCCTTGACATCTTTTGCTGGAATAAAGAGAGAGAGCCAATCAGCACTCAGGCAAGAAGCTAAGCCACAAATCAAGCACTCTTTATTGACAGGCGTGGCATTTTCTTTCCTTTGTCAGAGCTTCTCTCCCCACTCCACTCAACCTGACTGAGCGGCTAGTCACAACTTTTCCCTGGCCAGGCCCTCCAGCAGAGCTGGTTTTATATTCTATCTCTCCCTTCCCCCAAACTCCCTGTGAAGAAATGCTTATTTTTCACTTGGGAGGATGGCTATGAACAAAAGCTCCACTTTGCGTTTTAACAGTTTTTATTTTATTTAATTATTTAATTAATTTGTACCCCGCCCTCCCCGCAAAGCAGGCTCAGGGCGGCTCACACTGATTAATACATAAATAACAATTAAAATCCACATAAAATCATTTAAAACAAATCAATTATAAGTAGATCATAAATCATAAAGTGCTGGTGATGCTCCATTGATTGCTTAAGATGGCGTCCTGCAGGTGGCATCCTGAAAGTGCCTACAAGGTCTAAGCCATTTTTTCTGCTCAGTGCTCTTCGTCCTCTGGACAGAGAACAAGCAGGAAGTCAGTCAATGGCTTCCCAGGCTCACCTGAGCTACCTCTTAACAAATGCTAATAGGTCTAGCCAGGGCTTTTTTGGTAGAAAAAGCCCAGCAGGAACTCATTAGCATAATAGGCCACACCCAATAGCAGGAATCCATTAGCATATTGGGCCACACCCCTGACAGCACCACTTATTAGCACATTAGGCCGCACCCACATGTTACCAGACGTGTGGTCATCCAGCCACACCAATCTTTTGCTTCTTATTCTGTTTACCTTCTTTGTTGTCAAAACCCAGAGCTTTTTTTGTAGCAGGAACTTTTTTGCATGTTAGGCCACACACCGCTAATGTAGCCAATCCGAATGAGTTTCTGCTGTTGGGTGTGGCCTATTATGCTAATGAGTTCTTGTTGGGCGTGGCCAACTCAGGAGCCAGACGGAACTCCGTTCCTGTGCGTTCCTGCCCAAAAATAGCCCTGGGTCTAGCTAAAGACAGTTGAGTTTATTTATTTATTGTATTTGTATCCCGCCCATCCCACGAGCAGGCTCAGGGCGGGTCACTTCATCTTCAACAATACAATAAGGTTTAAAAACACAATATAAACATTTAAAATCAGTAGTTATAGCTACTGGTGAAAGTTCCGACCCATTCATACTGATTGTTATGGCCGGTTGCCGATAGATGGAGAGAAGGCCCCGGCCCTGGTCGAGGCTAGACGGACGACTCTTGGGCTAGGGACCACCAGGAGATGTTCATTACTAGAGCGTAAAGCTCTTCGAGGCATATATGGGAACAGGCGGTCCTTAGATATGTTGGTCCCAGGTCGTATAAGGCTTTAAAGGTTATTACCAACACCTTGAAGCAGATCCAGTACTCAACTGGTAACCAGTGCAGCTGGCAAAGCACATACCGAACGTGAGCCTGCACAGGCGTCGGCGTCAGCAGGCACGACGCCACATTTTGTACCAGTTGTAATTTCTGGATCAGCCTGTGTAGAGCGAATTGCAGTAATCAAGCCTGGAAGTGACCATTGCATGGATCACCGTAGCTAGGTTTTGGGGGGAGAGATATGGCTTCAGTAGCCTGATCTGCCTGATGGAAGAATGCAGATCTGGCAACTGTGGTAACCTGGGCCTCCATAGACAGAGAGGCATCCAGTGTTACTCCCAGGCTCCTCACTGTCTGGGGTGGCACCAAAGGTGCCCCTTCCAGTGTGGGGAGCCTGGTACCCACATCCATGCCCCCTCAACCCAGGTACAGGACCTCCATCTTCGATGGATTGCGCCGCCCCCCCCCCCTTTGTTGACCAGCCCCCCCTTCTCCAAGCAGGGAACAGAGACTTGGAGGACTTTAGACTAGAACAAATTCCAGGAAGGAAATGTCTGGACTTTTCAGGAAAAGCTTCTTTGACCTGGGCTGACTGGGTCAGTGGGAGGAGAGACTGAGATGATAAAAACTCCAAGCAACAAGAAGAAACTCTCTTTTCTTTGGGTGCTGCATCCCTGAGAGGACACGCAGACTCTCCTCTGAGCCACTGACCATGCGCTCTCCTGGGAGAGTTGGAGCAAGCTTCAAGGTAATGACTACTCTGTAGAGATCTAGAACATCTAAGCTAAAGAGCCTGTCCTAGATTTTACCACCTGATAGGGCATGTATTAGACAGAGCGACAGAGGATTTGTGTTTTACCTATTTCCTTTGGATTTCCTTGCCCAGTTTGGTGCTGTGCTAAAAAGTATGCTTATGAACATTTTCTTTTTAATAAATATTTTCAACTTTCGATGCTGGGAACGGTTCTCTGTACCACATAGACCTCCACTGTCTCAGACACGCTATTTTAAAAGGGGGCCAGGGGGAAGGTAGGCAGTTGGCAAGCGGCTATTCCTCCAGGGGAACACAAGCCAGTGAACTGTCCCCGCGGTGACCATACGTCGGGCAGCGGGAGACACAGAGGCAAGGCCTCAGAGCTTGGAAGGGAAGCTGGGAGCCCTGACCCTCCGAGCAGGCAATTCCTTGCAAAGGTCAGGTGGTGGTGGTGCATTACCGGAGAGAGAAAGTAAAACCTCTCCAGGTGATAGGAAAACTTTGGAAAGCAGACATGGATGGAGCCCCCTATGAGATCCTCAAAGCCCCCTACCCAATCTCCCCAATTCCCCTTTATTTTTTTGGGAAAAACCTGTTACTTGTTAAGTTCAGCTACACTGCACTGCCAACACGCTAGCTAAAGAGTGTGAGAACTAACTGGCCTCCAGAGTCATTCCTTCCTTCCTGGCTTGATTCCTTCGTGGCCAGTGGCTTCCTTGCACCTCCTTTGTTCCTCCTTTGATTGGCCAGCCCAGCCCCTCTAGCCAGCGGGGGGTCTAATTTCACCTCTCTGGATATGCCCAGTAGAGGGGGGGGGGTTCTAAGAGGGGGCAGGCAAAGACTGCCACTCAAATTAACAAAGGAAGAAAAGAGCCTCCCAGCGGGCAATTCCTTGCAAAGGTCAGGTGGTGGTGGTGCATTACCGGAGAGAGAAAGTAAAAACTCTCCAGGTGTTAGGAAAACTTTGGAAAGCAGACATGGATGGAGCCCCCTATGAGATCCTCAAAGCCCCCTACCCAATCTCCCCAATTCCCCTTTATTTTTTAAAAAATATTACTCGGTAAGTTCAGCCATGCCACACACCAGCCAAAGTGCACACACACTAACCAGCTGCCTGCATCATTCCTTCCTTCCTGGCCAGTGGCTTCCTTCCTCCTCTGATTGGCCAGCACAGCCCCTCTAGCTGGCTGGGAGGGGGTTTAATTGCACCTTTCTGGATATGCCCAGTAAAGGGGGGGGTCTCTAAGAGGGAGGTAGGCAGGCAAAGGCTGCCAGTCAAATATTTAACAAAGAAAGAAAAGAGACCCCCAAACAAACCCTGACTCTCGTCAAGACAGACCAGGCGGTTAAACTTTTCCCACTCCAGCTTTTGTAAATCTCTCGTCGGAAGGGGGGGAAATCCCTGAGCATGCAAACAGCTGGGCTGGAGGAAGAGGTTTTAATTTCTTCTCCTTTGGCTCCACCCCCACAGGCTCTTTTTCTTCCAAAGCTACAACCTTGGTGGGCTTTTTGTTTGGGCTCTTTGCAACAGATCAATGGAGCAGCGAGCCTTTAAAGTAGCAAATTATGGGTTGCCGTGTGCCTGCCTCTGTGGGCATCCATCCACCGGGACATTGTTCCTCTCTTGCTGCAGGGCTTCATCCCCCTAAATCTATCTCCGGCCTTATTTACTGGGGCGAGGGTGGAATGAAAGGCGCATCAGATCTGGGGGGGAGGTCTCTGTGTGTTTTGCTTCCCCCCCCAAAGGAATCTGCAGAGGCAATCAGATGCAAACAAAGAAGGGATCTTTTTCTCTCTCCCTCTCCATGGATCTCCTAACTCAAGTAACAGGCTCCTGCCCTGAACTCTGCAGGCAGGAAAAAAGGCTCTGATGTGGCGGCAGAGAGGGGTGGTGGTATTGATTGGGGGGCGGCTTGCCCATAGGCGACCCATATTGCTTGATTCTGTAGGCTAGGGAATCCTTTGGGGGGTGTTGAGTTCCCCTCCGAGCCCTGCAGAAAGAGCTAGAAAATTTCATTCCCCCCCCCTCCTCTTAAAGGGTGTAAATACTCCCCCCCCCCATTCAGCATCTTCACCCCATTGAAAAAGGGGAAATCTGTCAGGTTCGCTTGGGGCGATTACCTTTTGATCCAGGCAAAAAAGGATTTTTCCCCCTTATCTGTATAACCAACCTGACACACAATAGTAGCCATAATGTTTACAAACTTTTGAATGCTATTGCTTCCTCTGTTGAAGTAACTGAGAAAGTGGCTAAGTTCCTTCAATCCACCATGCTGCTACGCCAAGAAAAAGCACAGTTGTAACCTATTATTTTATTCAATGTATTTGTAATACAGTGTCCTGCTTGTATACTTTTATAATGACTTTGTTCTACTGATACATGCCAATAAAGGCTGACTTGACTTGACTTGAATAGTAGCAGCCCCACGAGAGAGAGAGAAATGCCCCCTCAGAAAAAGAAATCCTGCCTGCAGGCCTGAAAGCAGGGCAGAATACGGCATGCAGACCAGAGCAGGTCTGTTCCACCACACTCCCCAATATCTACTTTCAGGGGGGAAAATAACAAAGAATCATTCCCCCCCATCCTTCACATTTGACTTGCCAAGCAGATTTCTGGTGATTAAATACAAGACGTTATCATGATATCTAGCCCTGCAATCAGGGGTCATTTAGTAGAAAAAGAGGTGCAGGAGCTCATTAGCATACCTTATTTGCATAGGCCACACCCACTGACATCACTGGAAGTGTGTCAGAAGGCAACACCCACCGCTCAGGCTCCACTGGACTGTTTTGGATTGCAGATCTGTCCTGGCAGAGGAGGGAGAGCTTGTACCTGAATAAAACTTGGTCTTAAAGGTGCCACTGGACTGTTTTGGACTGGGGGGCCAGGGGGTGGGGGGCTCTGCAGCTTACCTGGCTGCTTCTTGCTCTGACTGAGGGCTGCTGGGAGCAGGGGGTGGGGCTTGTTGCATGTGCCCGCCCCCTGGACTCTTTACTGCCGGAGCTCCGCTCCTGTGCGCTCCTGCAGGAAATGACCCCTGCCTGCAATTCTACAGAGAGTTTACTTCCTGGTGTGAGGACAGCCATGAGAAGCTACTTTTCAGCCTCCTCAAATACTTGTTTGCTGGAAGGAGGGAGGACTGCACCAAGTGAACCCCATCGTTCAAAGGGGATGCCCATGGTTTTTGGAAGGGATGCCAGTTGTTGGGGAGGGAGGAAAAGCCAGGAGGCAGCTAGTTCAGGGGTCTCCAACCTCTCAGCGCTTGCGGGCAGGCACCTTTGGAATTCTGACATAACATGGTAGGTGCAGCAAGGAAATGGCTGTCACCAGCGTGTGGTAACCTCTGACCTCTTTGGAGAACAGGTGAAATAAATAACAATTAACTGCCCTGAGAGGTGGACGTGGTAGTTTTTGATAGACCAGTGGTGGCGAACCTATGGCACGGGTGCCAGAGGTGGCACTCAGAGCCCTCTTCGTGGGCACGGGTGCCGTCGCCCCAGCCAGGCCCAGACCATCATTAAAGCGTCGAATTCTCTGCCAAATAATTTTAAGTAAATGAAAGCATTTGGGATTGTGTTCCTTACTTTGTTTGGATCATTTTAAGTTAATGTATGAGTTGTTTTTTTCTAAAGTAAAACCTCAGTATTCAGGTTAAATAGCCGTGTTGGCACTTTGCGATAAATAAGTGGGTTTTGGGTTGCAGTTTGGGCATTCGGTCTCTAAAAGGTTCGCCATCACTGGCCTAGAGCATCCCTGACAAGTGACATCCAGCCGCTGCTTAAAGACTGCCAGTGAGGGGGAGCTCACCACCTCCCTAGGCAGCTGATTCCACTGTGGCACAACTCCTACTGTAAAAACGTTTTCCCCTAATATCCAGCCGGTACCTTCCCACCCCCTTCACTTAAACCCATTTTTCCAAGTCCTCTCCTCTGCTGCCAGCAGGAACGGCTCCCTGCCCTCCTCTAAGTGGCAGCCCTTCAGATACTTCAGCAGAGCAATCATGTCCCACCTCAACTCAACGTTCTCTTCTCCAAGTCCCTCAGCCTTCCCTCATAGGGCTTGGAGGCGGAGCCGCCCACAAAATGGCTGCCACAGCTTAACTTCAGGCACACAGTGTATAGATCCTTGTGCTGTGGTGGCAGTTGCCGCCAAAGCAACGTTGAACAAAATCTGTACAGCCGAACAAATCTCCAGTTGTCACAATGGTCCATCTGAGGCCTTGCTGGCCAAGAGCCCTACCTGGCCCCACCCAGTTCCTAAAAACACTGGTCAGGTGTCAGAAAAGGTGTCTGCGGGTTGCCACAGGGCCCAGGGGCACCACACTCAGGATCCCCAATCTAGCTGACTGCTGTAAGGAAACCGGAGATGAAGCTTTGTCCTCACACAACAGTGCTCTCAAGATGCCGGCCCCTTTCCCTGGAATATCCAGTATTTAAGGAAGCCACAGCCCCTCAAGAGCCACAGCTGAGTTCAGCCCCAGAAGGAGCTCCGAGCCTCTCAGATTTCAGTCCCCAGAAGACCTCCCTCTATCACTCAGGCCCATAGCTACAGTGGGGCATCTCGGGGCTAGGCCCCCCCGGCTTCCTGGCAAGCCTCCCCCAACTTCTCATTCAGCTCAGGACGTCACAGCCTTCTCCCCCTGGGAGGGACAGCTCCAGTAGAGGGCCTCTGGGGAGGGACGCGGACTAGATGCTTCCAGTGGCAACAGGAGGGAGACTCCAACTTGCTGGTGGCCGAAGTGGAGACCAGCACAGCGCAGGGTTCCTGCGCCCCAGTTTCTTTAATCAAATTACCTTTAATACAATTAATCAAATTACCTTTAATACAATTAATCAAATTACCTTTAATTCAATTAGCCAGTGCCCCCTAAGAAATTTAAATGCCCCCTGACTTAAGAAATCCTGGCTACGGGCCTGCTCTCACTATCTAGCGGGCTTCATAATTCCACCAAACCAAGACTTGCTAAGAAGAGAATCAGAAATCCTCTAATGGCTGTTCCTTGCCCATCCCCTTGACATAAGGACATAACAGAGAAGGACACTCACTATCAGCCACCTCAGTAGGGAAGGAGATACTCTCTTGAGATCCTCTTGAGAAACCCTCCGGTCCTCCTTTGGACGCCAGGCTTTGGTCTTTCTCCGCTGTAGTCTCTCTCACGTTCCTGGCTCCTTTGGCAGAGACAGGGGGAAAAAGTGATGATTCTTTTATCAGGAAGGAAAGAAATCGAAGGAAGAAGAAGAATTCTTCTGTAAGGGACGGAAGCATGGCCAAGACCAAAGCCCACAATCCAAACCAGTATAAGGGGGATGGATCCACTCCAGATTATGGTCAAAGTGGATGGCCCTAATCCCATCAGGGGGAAGGGTGTGTTGAGAAATTAGGATCTGGCCCCTTCCAGGGTCTTTACATAAGAACATAAGAGACGCCAATGTTGGATCAGGCCAAAGGCCCATCCAGTCGAACACTGTCACACAGTGGCCAAAAATACCAGGTGCCATCAGGAGGTCCACCAGTGGGACCAGAACATTAGAAGCCCTCCCACTTTTTACCCCCACAAGCACCAAGAAGACAGGCATCACTTGCCCCAGAGTCCCTATCTATACATTAGAAGCCCTCCCACTTTTTCCCCCCACAAGCACCAAGAAGACAGGCATCACTTGCCCCAGAGTCCCTATCTATACCTTGTGGCTAATAGCCACTGATGGACCTCTGCTCCATATGCTTATCTCCTCTCAACCCCACCTTGGCCTCAGGCCAGGAAACCCTCTCTGGCTTGCGCAATGGCCACAACACACTGGCCTCAGTTTCCTACTGGGCCAGCCAGGCAGCTTGGGTTGTTCTACCCAGCCATGCTGGACATGGCCTTTCGCTGCCGTTCTAACTCTACAAGGCCCCAGCGGGGGTCAAGTAGCAAGGCAGGCCTCAAAACGATGTACTGCCGTTCAAGATTTTGATTCATGCATCATCTCAAGGGCAGCAGTTTGCACCTTTGGCACTATGAAAGATCCATACCCAGAAAGGCCACGTTCCCGTAGTTCTCCAGTATGACTTCCCCATAGAGAGCTCTTTGGTCTGGATCCAGCAGGGCCCACTCAGCCTCTGTGAAATCCACCGCCACCTCCTCGAAGGAAAACGGACACTGAAAGAAAAAGCAGATTCCTCCGTCAGAGATCATGCCAGGAAGAGACGGCACACTGGAAGGGGGCATTCTGAGAGGGCACAGGGTGTTGACCTTGGCAGGGGTAAAGGGAGTGGCGCCCGGAGCCTCTATTGCTTGGACACCTTAGCAGTAACAAAAGCTCCCATACGAAAGAAGGAAGGACCAAGGCCAGTGGTGGCGAACCTATGGCACGGGGGCCAGAGGTGGCACTCGGAGCCCTCTCTGTGGGCACACGTGCCATTGCCCCAGCCAGGCCCAGACCATCATTAAAGTGTCGAATTCTCTGCCAAATAACTTTAAGTAAATGAAAGCATTTGGGATTGCTTTCCTTACTTTGTTTGGATCATCTTAAGTTAATGTACGAGTTGTTTTTTCTAAAGTAGAACCTCGGTATTCAGGTTAAATTGCCGTGTTGGCACTTTGCGATAAAAAAGTGGGTTTTGGGTCGCAGTTTGGGCACTCGGTCTCTAAAAGGTTCGCCATCACTGACCTAGGCTGTTCCCCCTGATCTCCCCCTACCTGGACTGGAGGTGCAGCAGCCGTTTCCACGCCACTGCAAAGACGGTGGCTCCACAACGCCTCTCCGCTGCCTGCAAGGGAGACAAAGGAAGAAGGAAGAGCATTAGCCTCCGCTCCCTGTTTCATTTGCTTGTATGACTCCTGCTGCTTCATGCACCCCTGTTCCCAGGGTAACAGAACTCATAATGATTTTTAATAAACTGTGGGAGAGACAGAAGAGAGACGCCAGGTACCCACATTTCAGGCTTCTGTGAGATTTGATTAATACCCTGTTAACTCTGGAGCTCAAAAAATGTGACAGCTGGATCGGACCCAAGGGCCACTCAATCCGGTCACAGGTATTCCTTCTCCCACCGGCTGGGCCCTTCCACGCGCCCTTGTGTTCAGGCTGGCAGGAGAAAAATAGGGGGCCGGAAAATTAAGTTGCACGACACGTTGCTGTCACATCCAGCTGAAAATGCAGATCTAATTTTAGCACATTAGTTGATGCTCTCGAAAATCTAGGGTAATACTAATGGGTTTCCAGAGTGTCTGCGTTCAAGCTTCAGGGCAGACGAAGACATCAAAGTGACATCAGGTTTACCACATCGCTCACAGGGGTGCCACACAACAGCCCTGGCACCCCTAGTCTGGTATCTTGTTTCTGGTTGTGGCTTGCCAGATGCCCTTGGAAGACCTTTAAGCGGGGGGGGGAGGAAGAGGAGGAGGAGGAGACTGGATTTATACCCCGCCCTTCACTACCCAAAGGTATCTCAGAGCGGCTTACAAACTCCTTTCCCTTCCCCTCCCCGCAACAAACACCCTGTGAGGTAGGTGGGGCTGAGGGAGCTCTGACAGAAACTGCTCTTTTTTCAAGGACAGCTCTTATCAGAGCTATGGCTTGCCCAAGGTCATCTAGCCAGGTTCAAGTGGAGGAGTGGGGAATCAAACCCGGTTCTCCCAGATTAGAGGCCACACACTTAACCACTACACCAAACTGGCCCCTAACAATGGGTCTTCAGAAGTCTGTTTCAAGGACAGCTCTTATCAGAGCTATGGCTTGCCCAAGGTCATCCAGCCAGGTTCAAGTGGAGGAGTGGGGAATCAAACCCGGTTCTCCCAGATTAGAGTCCGTGCACTGAACCACTACACCAAACTGGCCCCTAGCAATGGGTCTTCAGAGGTCTGCTGCCCCGGAACACGGAGATCTGATTTATTCACAACGGCTAATACCTGCACCAGATTGATCTCTCTTTCCTTTTTAAACCACCCTGCGTCCCCTCTAACAGAAGAAATGTGAGACAGGGATATTTTAATTCATAAGAATAGATTTGCCTTCCATGAATCTAATCCCCTTTCAAGTGAGTGGCCATCACTATATCCTCCGGCCCTGAGTCCCAGAAATCTACCCTCTGTTATATGCAGAAGTATTTCCTTCAGCTCCTGACCAAAACCTTCTACCCAACAACTTCACTGTGTGCCCCAATTCCATCTGGCCACAAGACAGCCTTACCATGTGAGAGGGCATCTTGGGCACCTTCCTGGGCCTGAGCCCTCTGCCCATCCTCTGAATGAGCTCCTTCCACCTCAGAGAAGTTGGCTTCCATCTTCACAGACGGTCCCCACATCTGAAAGGAGATGGGTAAGAGAAGGAATGGAACAGGCCAAGGAGACGGATCCTGCCCCACGCCCACCCAATGCTCCCTCTAAGCTGTGGAGTCTTGTGAGCAAAAATTCTATTTTGTGAGCTCCTGGCATTAAAGTTGTGAGCAAGTGATCTGGCTACTGCATAGATTAGATTGCTCTGGAGCCATCCTTCCTGGGCTAAGAGAAAAATGTGTGAGCCGGAGGCTAAAAAACTGTGAGCTAGCTCACACTAACTCAGCTTAGAGGGAACACTGCTCCCCCCCTCTCCCACACGCCTGCATCGACCAGCAGAGCTGTTTCAACCACAGGTGCAAGAACCAGGGTTGGGCTTTCTTCCGAGCTTAGTGAACTCTCTAGAGGTATACACATCTGACAGGGAAGCCTTAGGATAAGGTCGCTGCTTGAAATAAGTAAAGGAAATTCCCCTCACCTGCTCTGCCTGCCTCGTCTCCTCTGCCTGACTCAAGAGGAAACCTTCGGCCAGGGCTACCGCCTGGGAACTAGTCTCCGGCCCACATCCTCTGACCCAGCGCTGCATTTCCTGGGGCAGGATGGCCAGGAACTGCTCCAGGATCACCAGGTCCAGGATCTGCTTCTTGGTGTGCCTCTCTGGCTTCAGCCACTCAAAGTCCAGGGACCTGGCTGCAAACCTCTCGGGGCCCAGCAGCCTCATGGTAGCGGAACTGCCGGAAGCATCGGCTATGTGCGTCTGTGCCCATCATTTCCTCATCCAGGACCTCTAGTGCAGATATTTCCCAGAATTCAATGCCACTGCCACCCTGGATGGGATGGGGACCTTTCCTTGATATCTCGCTGATTCCAGGTCCCTCTGGGTCATGCTCTTCCATCTTCTTCCCCTTCTCTTGGGTCACCTCTGACTGTGGAAAGACAGCCTTACTCATGTGACTATGAAGAGGAAGGGGAAAAGGTATCAAAAAGGCAGAAAGAAAACAAAAGAGAACTACTTCACTGACCCTGGCCAAGAGACACCTACGGATTTCCCCGGTTGATCAGAAGGAGCGTCCTTGTTGTAGTTTACCAGTCAGAATTAATGTCATTGTACTATAGTACATGGAGCTGCGGTGGCTCAAGTGGTTAAGACGCTGAACTGCAGGCTGTGGAAGGTCGGTAGTTCAACAGTTCGAGACCCGAGTGTGCCGCATGACAGAGTGAGCTCCCGTCTCTAGTTCTAGCTCCTGCCAACCTAGCAGTTTGAAAGAAAGAAATTGCAAGTAGATAAATAGGTCCCACTTCGGTGGGAAGGTAACAGTGTTCCGTGCGCCCTGGTGTTTAGTCATGCCGGCCACATGACCATGGAAACGTCTTCGGACAGCGCTGGCTCTTCGATTTTGAAACGGAGATGAGCACTGCAACCCTAGAGTCGGATTCGACTGGCTTTCGAGCAAGGGAACCTTTACCTTTACTATAGTACATATTGTACTTTTTAAAGATATCGCTGTTTGGTCCTTCAGGAAAGGAAACCATCTCTGTTTGGCTCTTTAAAAATCTGTTGCAGAAGTAATTATCTTGGCCTCCGATGACAGGGGATCAGCAGTCTGTCCTAGGAGCTATGTCTCAATGTAAACTGGAACCCAGCGGGGGTCACTGGGGGTGTTTGGGGGGGGTATTTATGAATTTCCAGCATTTTGCAGGGGGTTGGACTAGATGACCCCGGAGGTCTCTTCCAACTCCACGATCCTATGATTCTAGGCAACAGCTCTCTTCAAGTAACCAGCAGAGGGGGAGAGGCAGAGGGCCATGACGCCTCTCCACAGGTTAGGGCACAGGGACTGCTGAGATGAAGAGGAGCAGGGGGAGGCAGTGAACCCCCAGGAAAAAGGCAGATGGGGGGGGGGGAAGCACCAGCCAGAATACTTAGCCCATGGGGACGCCGATCCGATCCGCGTGAATAATTCCTCTCATTTGATTACTCCCAGGCAATGCTCCCTCTAGGCTGGGGCGTTTTGTGAGCAAAAATTCTACTTTGTGAGCCACTGGCATTAAAGTTGTGAGTGAGCGCTTTGGCTGCTGCATCACTTAGTTTGCTCTGGAGCCCTCCTTCCTGAGCTAAGACAAAAATGTGTGAGCCAGAGGCTAAAAAACTGTGAGCTAGCTCACACTAACTCAGCTTAGAGGGAACACTGCTCCCAGGCACTCCTTTCTGGACCTCCCTACGACCACCATCACGGCTAATACATTTTTATTTATTTTATGTACAACCGCATTCAGATCCCGGCCTTCCTGTCCTCATAGGGGCCACCGAGGCGGCTAACAAATCTAAACACGCATAAGCAAGTCTCTTAACACGCCCCCCACAGATGCACATGACAGCAGCATTCCTCTCCTCCAAGACTGCAAAGCTGATTCCCCCCCAGCTCATGACTTACTTGCAAGCAAACCTTCCCAGGATGCGGCGGCTGCAAGGCTTTTCCCGGCTGTCGCGGACATTAAAGCCTCCTCCCCACCCCCCCCCCGGTTCTCTTTCGCCATTCAGAAGCAAAGCCCCCCCCCCGGCGGAAAAGAGCCTTTCCGCTTTTCTGCCCCACCCACTCCCTGCTGGTCCTCTCTAGCAAGCAGCTCTATCCTTTGAAGCCCGTCAGCGTTGCAGACGTAGAAAAAATAGCTGAAGAAGGGAAAAAAGGGGGGGGGGCTTCCTGTTCTTGCTATGAGAAGTGCCCAGACCTGCGCGGGCGGGCGGAGGGGATTTGGCCAAGGCTGCCGTCGGCAGCGGGGCTGCTCTGGAGTCACTCGGCACGGGCTGGCGTTCCTGGGGTGGTCTCCCGTGCTGTTTAGCCCTGCCAGAAGATGTCGCGGTTGAGTAGAAAAAAAGAGAAGGCGGCGAACCAAAGCAAGCTCACACACCAAACAATCCGGAGCAGGCTTGCTCGGCATCCTCCTCGGGCATATTCAGTGCGGTTTACTCCCAGCAAAGTGGTATTAAAGGTAACGGTAAAGGTTCCCTTGCTCGAAAGCCAGCCGAATCCGACTCTAGGGTTGCGGTGCTCATGCTGTTTAGGTTCGCCATCGCTTTCCTCCCAAGGAGCAGGGATCTTTTAATTTCATGGCTGCTGTCACAGTCTGCGGTGATCTGGGATCCCAGGAACATGAAGTCTGTCACTACTTCCACGACTTCCCCTTCTATTTGCCAAGGAGTGATGGGGTCGGATGCCATGATCTTAGTTTTTTTGATGTTGAGCTTCAAGCCCACTTTTGCACTCTCCTCTTTTACCCTGAGCAAGAGGCTCTGTAGGTCCTCTTCACTTTCTGCCATCAGTGCAGTTTACTCCCAGTAAAGTGGTATTAGGATTGCATAATAATCATGTTCCTGTAACATCTTCCCTATTTCTCAAAACAAAATGCCAGCTAGACTGCTCCCCATCACTTCCTTTGGCCTGGAGAGTGTTACCATTTTGCCCTATTGGATAGAGTTGACACTTGCGGCTTGGGAAATTCCTGGAGATTTGGCCCTGTTCTCTGCCCTCAGAGGCTTTGGGGGGAGTATTCAAATGATTTCAAGTTGGTATCTAAACAAAGATCGTAGAATCACAGAGTTGGAAGGGGCCCTACAGGCCATCTAGCCCAACCCTCTGCTCCATGCAGGATCAGCCTAGAGTAGGGGTGTCAAACATGCGGTCTGGGGGCCAGATCAGTTCCCCTCCCCACAACAGACACCCTGTGAGGTGGGTGGGGCTGAGAGAACTCTGACAGAGACTGCTCTTTTCCAAGGACAGCTGTGCCAAAGCTTGTGACTGACCCAAGGTCACACCAGCAGGTGCAAGTGGAGGAGTGGGGAATCAAACCTGGTTCTCCCAGATCAGAGTCCGCGCACTTAACCACTACACCAAACTGGAAGGGGCCCTACAGGCCATCTAGCACAACCCTCTGCTCCATGCAGGATTAGCCTAGAGTAGTGTCCGATTCCCCATGCATTCGAAATAAATCCACGTTTGAAGAACAAAGTTAAATTTATTATAAAGTGATGGTTAGATCAGGAACACAAGAATTGTTAGGAATGACTACAGACCCCATAGGGAAACATAATAAAGGAACTTGAACCAGGTTAGCACCTATGAGTCCAATTCCCGCTGGCGGGAAGGCAGATAAAACTAGCGCCCAATTCCTTGGGAACACAACGGTTCTACAACATAAACACAAGTTCAGTTCTCAGGCTTGAGATACATAATAAGCACAGCAACGCCATAACTCCATCCCACCTCCAGCTGGTTGACCTTGAGCAGTTCCGCAGATGTAGCAAGCAAAAGACAGTAAACACCTACACAGGAGGATACAGGGGGGAATGGACAGAGCACAATGTCATATGTAGAAAAGAACACATCACCTTATGGCAGCTTGCTGACAAGTAGGGGTGTCAAACATGCGGTCTGGGGGCCGGATCAGGCCCCCCGGAGGGCTCTTATCAGGCCTAAAGTGGAACTGGCCGTCTTCTGCTGCTTCTTCCAGTTCTGCGGCTGCTGCGTCTTGGTAGGTTTGCAGTTTACAGAGAAACACCTGAACAACATACTCAAGATTGCAACAGCACAGACATTTTGATGCAACAATTCAGAGCAAGAGGTGTCAGTTAGCAGACACTGTTAAATAAACACAATATTGCAAGATTGCTAATGTTCTAAGCATGTTTTTATTTTAAGTAACAAAAAAACCCGTTTGCGTTTGTGTCCTTTATAAAGTTTATATCTCCGCTACCTAGCATTACATTTTATGACACACATGGCCCGGCCGGACAAGGTCTCATTTATGTCAGATCCGGCCCTCATAACAAATGAGCTCGACACCCCTGGCCTAGAGCATCCCTGACAAGTGTCCAGCAGCTGCTTAAAGACTGCCAGTGAGGGGGAGCTCACCACCTCCTGAGGCAGCTGATTCCACTGTTGTGCAACTCTCACTGTAAAAAGCATTTTCCTAATACCCAGCCGGTACCTCCCCAGTCCCACCTCTTACATCCTAGATTATACTAGCAGAC